TGTAATATTCGTCTCTGTTACTGGTCTCTTTTACTTACCTCTGGCAAACTGATACACTGAGGCTTTGCTATGAAACAAATGACCCAGAGCAAATGCTCTGTCAAATTCTTTACCGCAGCCCATCGATTCATTTTAACGTTTTAAAACCAGTGTGAATTTTACATCCTTTGTTATACCAAATCACCCCATGCCTACACGAGCACAAAAACCACAAATTTAAGTCATCAATTTGACATAGAACAGCGCAAGAGAGACAAGCGGCCTTGCTGAGTTACTGATGAATGAGAGTGTGTCTATTAAAGGTAACCTTCCTCCATTCCTCAGACAAAGTGGCTGTGACACTGTGAGTGGGTGACAGAGTGCTACACTTTGAGTGTCTTATTCTCTACCTTTCACCTGAATATTCACTTCACTGAATGTGGGCGCCTCTGAAGTTTGCTACCTCTCTTCAATCATTGACAAACTCTGGATTGACTAGAATTGCACCACTATCTTTATTGATCTATTAGTGGTTGTGTTGATCTTATCAAAAAGGGTTGAAATGAAGATGTAGTACCATGTAGAGCGAAACATTTAATTGAAATAAAACCGAAATCACAATACGGCTTAGTGCGATTATCTAATTGCTAAGGGCTGCAATTTAATTAAATAAATATATGCAGTGTGAGTTACAGAGTGAAGCACAGCACTGTGTTCAATTACATGCATACTTCCAGTGTTTTCAGGGTCTGGAAGCAGATTGCTTTGCAGTTCTACACAAACTGGGTCATTGCTTGCATACATTGCATGTATGCCTCAAACAACCCAAACTTATAAACTGGCTGTGGTCAACAAAAGAGAAGCTTAAGTGCTTCCTGTAGTTTTTTTTGTTTTTTTTGCCAGAAAGCTTGATGATTTAACATTAGAAAATAAAAGAAACACATCTATATTATAATTTTACTGTTGTACTGTAATAAATACAATTATGATTATAACTATAATAATATTAGAAATTACACAATTTTGGCCCAAAATTTCAGACCTACAAACAAGCGCACCAAACCTGGAGTTTAAAAAAAATGCATTTTAAATCCATGTGTACCATGTGAATTTTTTTCAATGCTGCTCCTTCCCATTAAAGAAAATTATTATTTTATAATTTCTTCACTAGGGGTGTGCCCGAAGCCGAATACCTTATTCGGAATGGCACGGATAATTGCTTCAAAAACGAATAGCGGATAACGAAAAATTATGCCCGAATATTCGGCTGAGGCTGCAGCACAGTCTGGTGTTTGCTAGATTCACAGGTGAGCCAGGGGATCAGCGCGATATTTTACACAAACCTCTAAATTCACGCAATAATGAGTATGTGAAGTGAATGAATGTAAACTTTATGAATGAAAAGAGCACAAATTAAACACCGCATTGCTGTTGCCACTCCGTGCATCTCTCAGAAATCAGAGCTTGGCAAGAGTAGGCCTAATATTACCTAAAATAATACACAAAATCATACATGTTCTACTATTTGTGTATATATAAAAGGCAATGAATGATTTAAACCTTAAATGCTACGATATGATACACGAATGAATAAGCACAGCGCGATCGCCAATCAAACAGCCGTGTTGCCGTCTCTGCACGTCTGTCTCTCAAAAACCAAACCAGCTCTCTGTCAAAGAGTAGGCTAATAATCAACTTAAATACAGATACATTTTCTACTAGGCCTACATATTTGCTTTCTTATCTTTTGCTGGTTTGCGTGGCACAGGCACATTTGTTTAGTGAAGTTCAAAAAAGACTAGTTTAAAGAGTTCTGCATAATGAAAATGTGTGCCTTGAATTCAGTCATGTTCAAATGATCACTAAATGTTTGTCATGAAATCCTCCTACTTGTATGATACATTTTTAGAAATTATTAATTTTATATTTTAGAACACTGAATAGGGCAAATAGTCGAAACACAAATATTTTTCCATACTCTGTTCTTTTTTTTCCCATAGGTTTTCCAGACCTGAAAATTACTTAAGTGAAATACTTTTTTTAAACTGCGCAGGAATCGGTAAGCCAAAGGAAATCATGTTGTTTTACATAAACCTCTAAAATTACAACGCAGTAACAAGTGTGTGAAGTAGTTAAATGAGTTTATGAATGAAATAATCGCAAATAAAATAGCAGTGTTGCAGTTGCCTTTTTCCATGCATTTCCTGGAAATGACTTAAAGGGGTCATATGATGTTGCTAAAAAGAACATTATTTTGTGTATTTGGTGTAATGAAACGTGTTTATGCGTGCCCCGCCTTTCTGAAACGCGTCGATTTTTACAAAGCTCATCGGTTATCCAGTGCGGCCGAATACCTCAAGCGTGTGAAGGAAATGTTACGCCCCTTACCATATTGTGATGCCTCTGATGCCTCG